GCAAGCTAAACTCCTAAGTCCTTCTAGTATTCTATCTCTTGTCCCTGCTTTTGATGACGCCCTACGCACCTTTAATGAGTTTACAGGTTCTGATCTCTTACATGACCCTAGTGGAGTTGCTGCCCCAAAACTTATGAAGAAATTAGCAGATATATATTTTGCGAAGGTTGTTACTACTTCATATTACGTTTTTTCGTTGGCTACGCGTCAGGTGGCTTTGTGGAAGTCTCAGCAGAGTGCACACTCTTTTGATTGGTTGCATGTTGTTCCCATTTCTGGGTTGGGCTAGACTATGAATGAGAGGACATATCGTAGTGTGCTTAGATATCGATTGAGTGTCCCATTGTTTTCGGTATCTAAGCACTGTCCTGCTTGTCCCGTGTCTTTCCTGGTGATGTCTTTTGGGATCATGCTGTGTCCTTTGCTGGTTTTGTGGGCATTAAGCATCGGCACAACCTCGTTCATGACACCATATTGGATATCTATTACAGGTCTGGGATTTCTGCAGGTAGGGAGGTTGATATCGGTTTGGTTGATGGACATGGCGGACCCCTTCGTCCTGCAGATTTGTTGCTTTATTCCTGGGACAGGGGGCGAGATGTGTGTGTAGATTTGACTGCATCTTCACCTCTGACTCAGACTGGAATGAGTCGTTTTGTGCCTGCCCGAGTTGTTGCTGATACTGCTAAGCGAAAGTGTGCCAAGTACCTAGACTTGTGTACGCCAGCTGGTTACAGTTTCCTGCCCTTTTCTTTTTCTTTGTTGGGAGAGTTGGATATAGATGTCGTGGCTTTACTCAAGATGATCCAGAAATTCTCCATGTCTCAGGATGCAGGGGCTCGGGCGGTCGCATACATTTTTAATAGACTTAGTTTTCTATAGCTAAGGGAGTGGGGGCCCAGATTGTATCTCGGCTACCCACTAATTTTTTGTAAACCTTTGTTTGTTCTGCTTCCACTCACAATGAATAAACGGAGAAACATAAAAAAAGATATTCGTATTAAAACTATAATTCAACTTTATCATATCGTTAACAATTGCCTATTTAAACTTTAGTAAAAAGTTTTTCCAATCGGACCGTATCACAACACTAGCTACAAAAATTGACTGCCCTTCCCTTCTTAGTTCTTACACTACACAGAAAAAGCGGGGAAAGCATTCATTTTATCCGCCTTTCATAATATCTCCTCATCAAAAGCCCAAAATTTTGGGAAAAAATCCCAAAATACTCTAATTATTAAAAAAAATTCCCAAAATACAGTACTTATGAAAATATTTCCCAAAATACAGCAGTTTGGTTATCACCACTGCAAACCAAGACAGTGATGGCAATCACCGTTTTTGACCAAAACGGTGATACTCGACCTTATCATCGCTGATGTGTAAAGCGATCATATCATCGTCATGGACCAAAACTGTGATAATTGACACATTTTAGCGCCCTGGTAGCTGGAAATTAGGTCACAGCTACCAAGCAATCACCGCTGAGGATAATGGCGGTGAACACATCACTGTTTTTGTCCAAAGCGGTGATTGCTAAAAAAATTTTCTATAAATACTGACCTCCACTTCCCCTATTGCTACCTTACAGAAAATTAGTACAAAAACTAGTGTTTTATTAGCCGTTTTCTCAGCTGGTTTGGAGTTGGTTTACTGCTCAAGAAACTCGTCGGGATTCGGTATGTTATAATTATGTAATGTTTACATGTTTATGTGTTAGTAATTTATATGTCTGTATTTAGTGAATTGCAGTTATTGGAAAATATGTTATGATATATTTAGATTAATTATGATATGATAGATGTTAGTTAATTAGTTACGAATTTAGATGAATTTGTTTAGTTTTCTCATGATAGATCGGGCTTCGGTATGTTATAATTATGTATTGTTTACATGTTGATGTTTATTAGTAATTATATGTCTGTATTTAGTGAATTGCGGTTATTGGAAAATATATTATGATATATTTAGATTAATTATGATATGATAGATGTTAGTTAATTAGTTATGAATTTAGATGAATTTGTTTAGTTTTCTCATGATAGATCAATTACATGCGTTTGTTTATGGGTTTGGATGATATTGTTTTTGTATCCCTAATGTACTAATTATATACTATACTCAATTATTATAAATTGTAGACATGGTTAAATTTAAGAAGTTTCGGCTTATTATTCGGTGGAATGGTCGGGTGACAAACTCGAACATTGGCATCGACTATGAAAATGGCGAATCCACTATGCTAAAAATTGAGTCGAGATTCTCGTGGCAAGAACTCGATGACATTTGTGCAGAAAGGACTTGTACGGGCGGGCAAAGGAGAGTTGGTCAAATTGCCTACCGCTATCCAAACATGAGTGCTGGCGGAGTCATGTACGAAAAAGTTGTCATAAATGATGATGACTCGGTGAACATGATGATACAGTTCCTATCTGACAACGGGTTGCGGCTTGCAGAGGTGTATGTCGAGACCGAGCCGGTCGGTGAAACTCATTCTCACCAGTATTCTTGTGATGATGGTTTTGTAGGAGGGTATGACTTGGGTGGAAGTTCAAGTAACTACGAAGGAGGTACTTCTGCAGGAGGGTATGGCTGGGGTGGTACTTCAAGCAACTACGGAGGAGGTAGTTTGTTGCTGATGGTGGAAGTGAGGGGTGCCTTGGGCGAACATGTCATGTTCCTGAGTCGGGGCATAGCTTGACGACCCTCCGGTGCCCTCAGTACTAGTTGCCTACTCACAATGTGGCCATGGTTCAGGAAGTTGAGTTTGTTGAGACGGACGAAGCTCTTCAATGTTTTCTCTCACCCTTCTTCTGCTCCTCTGTGGGGGCTCTTGTGGGGGCACGATCCTCTCATCAGCACGGAATGACGGTCGGGGCGGTGCAGGCATTGGAGGGTATAATACGACATCCCTCCTTTGCTCTCGGGTACAACAAAGCAGGTTGTTGAAAAGCCTGCGCAAAAAAGATGTCTTCCGCTCATCCATGGTGGGTGCACTCTCGACAGTGTGCTTGGCATGTTCCAAACCGTCAACCTAATAAATTGTTGTACAAAATTAACTAACATTAAGACAAAGAGGCATCCTTAAATCTAACAAAGGCATGTAATCATACTTCCAAAAATTTAGACATGTAATCATACAAAAATTTAGACATTGTTGTACAAAATTAACTAACATAGGCATGTAATCATACTTCCAAAAATTTAGACAAAGAGGCCAAAATGGAATTCACTTACCACTGCGCCCCAAACAACACCTTGCTTTGACACCCATCTGAGCGTGAAATTTCGATACCACCGCATGTAGCCATCGTGGTACCCCATTGGCCTTGTCTCCGGCATCCCTTGGACCACCCACTGATTTCTATTCTCCCATATGTTGATGTAGAATTCATGCTTCTTTTGCCAATCCTTGTCTCCGGCATACCGCTCCACTTGATCTTCAGGAGTGTCGGGGCCTATATTAACCTCCATTTGGATGTGGTCAACAAGCCACGGGACCGATACTTGCCCCGCATTCAATGGTGGATGCCCAACCCCGTCGACGGGCGTGGTGGTCGGCATGTTGAACCCCAAACGCTCTAGAATCAACGGCCCCCAACCATCTTCCGGTTTTTTCAAGCTGTCGATGATGGCATCTCCGGTGATCGGGAGCCCGGTGAGGATGGCAACATCTTTGAGGGTGATCGTCATTTCACCCTCGGGAAAGTGGAAGGTATGCAGCTCGGGGCGCCATCGTTCTGCCATTGCCGTCAGCAGATAGTTGTCAATATCAAGCCTCGTAAAGTGCCTCAGCATGTGCAATCCCGTCCTCTCTATATAGGGCTGCAGTCGATCATGCCAACGGGGCAATCGACATGTCCCTCGATGAGCGATGGGAATAAGTGATTCCTACAAAACAAAAAACACAATATTATCAGTAAATAGAAAGCAAAATAAAAACTTTAAAACTATTGAAATAAATTTAGTGTGTCTACCGGATTATTGTTCCAAATTGAACGGGAGCGATGTTGATCTTGCCCGGTTAAATACCTTCGATCCCTTGGGCCAGGATCGATATACAATCGAGGGTCGTATATCTCAGCACCCATCTATTAAAAAATATAAAATCAAATCAATTTAAATTTTAGCACCCATGTAAAAAAAAATCACAAAAGAATAAAATTAATTTACGTACTCTCAAAGCCTCTTCGTCCATTTTTTGCCGAAAAGCTAGCGAGAGTATCGACAAAACAAAAACTCTAGTAATTCTTTCTGATGCGGAAGATCGGACTTAGCCGCAACCACAGAGCATACTTAGAACGAAACTAGAGGAAAGTAAAGGAGGGAGAAAGAAGTATAAGATTTTGGTGTGGTTTGGAATGAGGGGTGGGGGGGGGGAGTGGTATTTATAGGGGAAAGGGGCGCTGGAAATTTTACCAGGGACCAATCACCGCTTCTGATGAAGGCAGTGAAGTCACCGCCTTAAAGGAACGCGGTGAAGGCGTGGATAGCTGACGGGGCGCGGCGTGAGGCGTCGGATCGTGGAGAAAAACCACAATCCGCGCCTCACTGCATCTAACGGCAGCGGTGAAGGCGCGGGTGGCGCGGATCGCTGACGTGGAAAGCGGGGCTATCACCGCTTTAGTCATCAGCGGTGAAGTGCCCGCGCACGTCCACGTCAGCGATCCGCGCCACTTCACCGCTTTTTATTTCAACGGTGAAGATCCCTTCATCGCGTCACAAATCAACGGTGAATTAATCACCGTCATTAACCACAGCGATGATGGCATCACTGTTGTTGTCCACAGCGATGATAACCAAACTGCTGTATTTTGGGAAATATTTTCATAAGTACTGTATTTTGGAAATTTTTTTAATAATTAGAGTATTTTGGGATTTTTTCCAAATTTTGGTACAACTTTCCTGAAGGGGGCAAGCAACAGATTTCTGTATCACATTGCATTCAATGGGGGACAAGTTACCCTGGACAAAAAAGGTCGAAGTGACATCAAAATTAGTTAAAAAGGCAGAGAACTATGATTCTTGTGTTCTCTGCTAACCCTGAGTATGAAGCTCCTAAACAGTAACAGCCCCAAACCACCGATTGCTAGGGTTAAGACCACGGGTACTCCTATGGCATCAATGTCAGGCATAATGAGTTTCTTTCTTTTCTTGGCTTGCCTTGACCTCTTTGCTGTCAGCTCATGCAGGAGACTGCTTAAACTATCTAACTTGTGCATGGCTTGGCGTTGTCCTCGCACAATCTAGACATCAAGACTTTGGTGATAAGAGGACTGCCAACATGAGCAATTTAAATAAACAATATATTCATTTCAATCAAAAGGATGAAGTTATGGTTACCTCTTCCAGAAGTGGTGAATCCTTAGCTAGCTGGGAAAGTGACAGTGAATGGGACAATTTGGATCCGGCTAGGGAACCATTACTTAACCCAGACACGAAGTAAGAAGTAGGAGCGGAGCCATTGCTCACGTCACCGCCTTGCAAACCTATGCACTGCTGTGGGCTTGGAGAACTATTACTATTATTGTTTATCACTGTTAGCTTGGAGTTCAATTCTTCAAGTTGGGACGTAAAATCATCCATTCTGTCATTTAGAGACGACATCTGTTCTGAAAACTGAGTAATCACTCCCTTTTAAAGAGAAAGAAAACACAAAATCAACCAAGTATTTCATGCACAGGTTCGTTTAGACTGTTTATCTGGAGAAAAAAAGAACACTGAACTAGTACCTGATTTGCTAGCATTGCTTGAGGCTCTGAATTTCTGTCCTCGTACCTTGGGTTGCTGCGAGGGATTGCAGTGAGCCTGGAGTAGCTTTTGTCTCCTTGATTTGTATATGAATGTGATATACCACTGCTACAGCAGCAGCAGCAGCAACAACAACAACAACAAGGGTCCATAGCTAAGATATCTGGTTGGTATGGGATGATTAGTGGAGAATAACTAAGAAGCATGAAGATGTCAAAAACTACAAAAATGGCTCTAAATTTAAACCTTCTGAGGTTCTTGTTTCTCATAGCAACTCTATCAGTAGAGGCTCGAAGCAGTGCTTCCTTGGGACTAGAAACTAAGTCCTCATCCATGCTTAGCTTTGTCTTCAAATCTTCAGGCAAAGCCTTCACAAGAGACATCTCTGCCAGCATGAATGAAATTCACAAAGATATACATAAAACTAATCATATTTTTATGTATGTTGTCATTCCATTACTTCATCTACAAGCTTCTCGAGTTGGATTTGTTCTATATATGTGCGCGTAATGTATGAACCTTCCAAATCTAGCTGCTCAACAGCGCATCTCACAACCAGCCGATCTCTTCCTTGCACCTTTTTCAAAGACAAGCAAGCATTGAGGTCAGAATGCTTGCGAGCAATTGATGGTCAGTAATGCCACATTATACCCACATGTAAGTGTCAAGAACTAGTTGATTCCAATAATTAGAGTTGTTGGAAGAGATTCAATATGGATCTTATATCACTCACTAACACACCCCCTCAAATGAAAGTCAGTTAACTCATAAGAATTTTTGTGTACACATGTAACAACCCTAACTTTTTCGAAAATCAAAACATAACTCAAAACCAAAAACCTGTTACTCCGGAGCAACCCAAACCACTTTTTAAAATAAACAAACTGACATTATTTAAGAATTTCAAACGGAAAGCCCTAACACTTGGGCAACCACAATACTTAAAACAACTTAACCCAGAATCTCCAGTTTATACTAATAACAACGAAACAAAATAATTAACTATTCTAACTTGACTCCTCACGAGCTTCCTGATATCCCGCCATTCCTGGTACGACTGCTTGCCTCGCCCTGCTTCTTCTCGTGATCCACTTCCGCTAACCCTTCCTCGACCTGGTGAGTGAGAAGAGGTTAGTCTCGTCGTTACTTCCTAAGGTCCTTCCCTAAGCAAACTCCTTACTAAAACACGTTATTAGCGTTGTCTTTCCTTAGACGAAAGCCATTCTCACTTTCACCCCTCAACTTTATTACTCAAAAGCTTATAGAATATCCTTACTACAAATTTTATCTTATAGAAGTTATTTACTTCTATCCCGACTTAATCACATATCAGTAGGGAATCACCGTGTTACGTCTTGCCAATGTAGTCGAAATCCCGATTTAAATCTTACGATTTTACGATCTTACCTATGGGTTCCGATCCTGATTTTACTACAAAATCTTTGAACCTTAAAATCCCATAAAATCTCGATTTAAAACACTAAAATCCTTAAAATCTACAATTTTTACGATTTTGTACAATTTCAAGGTTCATGTCAATTGGAGCAAAATCAGGCCGGTCAGGTTGGGTTTTGCCCATGAACAGGGTCAAGTTCACTTCTCTCAGCCCAATATAATCAACAACACAACCCTAACCTGATTAAAAGACACTCAATTGATTTTCGTACTCTTCCTCATATCTTCCTCTTCCGCACGCCGACACCCAACTCCTTCTATCAATGATTTCCTCCACCCTCCCAATTAGCTCTTATTTTGTTCCCACGACCCTCACAATTAGCCCACTCCCCATTACAATGCAAGATTTTGTCCATCTACCAAACCTTCAGCACCACTATTCCTCGACTTTTATCGATCAAGTAGGGAATGCATCAATCAATGAATTACCTTTGCAAGATGATGACGATCAAGTGATCCTAAGAATAATGATATCCTTCCTCAAGAAATTTATAAAAGGATGAGAGTGAGGGTGAGGGTGATGATGTGTGACGGATGCTAATGTTGATCCTAACAATCTTATGTGATTTTCTAATCTTAACTACTTACCAAATTAAGTTATTTCAATGAGTTTTCATGTTGCTTATTTGTGTGTGTGTGTTTTTTTTTATGTACAAGAATAAATCTATGGATTTATTTGTGTTTATTTAGCACACAAACTTATCTTGGGAAGTAATTAGGTCATATGGTGTTAACTTTTATTCATGATATGGATTGTTATTACTATTTGGTGCTCTAAGTGTTTATTTTAATATGAACTTTAAAATCTTACGATTTTACGATTTTAATCTACGATTCCGATTTTACCTCACTTTTCAATTCTACGTAAAATCTCGATTTTGACTGCTTTGCCACCAATGGCGAATCAACAATAACAACCTCAAGTTCCACCATGGCCTAGAACTATGGGATCTTAGTCAAGGCCAAATGTGGATAATGTTCAATCACCTATTCCTCACCCAACAGTACCGAACAACAATTATGAGATAAATTCGAGCACAATTTTGATACTTCAAAGTGCGATTCAATTCAATGGGATGATGAGTGAAGATGCTCATGCACATATCAAGTCATTCTACGAGTTGACGGATGGAATCAAGGTGAACAAGGTTGCTCAAGAGGCAATTCGTCTGAGGTTATTCTCGTTTACTCTAAATGGATTAGCAAAGAAATGGTTGAACAACCATCCCCATCATTCCATCATCTCGTGGGGATGATCTATGCAACAAGTTCTTCGCAAGATACATTCCACCTTCTAAGACGGCTCTAATGAGAAGCGAGATTTCTATGTTCTGTCAAGAGGAGGATGAACCATTGTTTGAAGCGTGGGAAAGGTTTACATCTCTCCTACTCAAGTGTCCACACCATGGCATCTCAATTGGTTGCAAGTGGAAAGCTTTTATAATGGTTTAACAAGGGAGTCACCCCACCTCATCGATGCGGCTAGTGGAGGTGCCATAAGAAACAAGTAAGTCTGTGAACTACAAAGATTGATTGAAGAAATGGCCCTAAATAGCTCCGATTGGGGGTCGGAAGGAGGGATAAAAATGTGAAGAAGGAAAGTTTATTGAAGATTGAAGAACCATCATCGTTAGTGGTTCATATACAAGAACTTTCTAATAAAATTGATCAAGTCGCGTCATCAATGAAATGCAATGAGAAACAGCTCTTGAAATGTGGTTGGTGTGGCGACTCGAGTCACACTATGGAGGAGTGTAAGTATATGATTGAGGGCTCAATACAATTTGAGCAAGCCAACTTTGTTAGAGGGCAATCCCAAGGAAACAACCCTTATAGCTCTACATATAATTCCGGTTGGAGGAACCATCCTAATTTTCTTTGGTCTTCTCCAACTAATAGGAAGCCTCCAAGATTTCAATCTCAAGCTTATATGCAAAATTCTTACCCAAGCTCGAGTAAACCATCATACCAAGGAGCATACCAAGAACAAAGTCGACCCTCCGATGGTTGAGTCTCTAAACTAGAAGACTTGGTAGGCCAATTCGTTACACACTCCAACAAGAAGTTTGAGGCTATTGAAAAATTCGTAGAGAATACTAGGACCAAATTATCAAGTTTGAAAGAGGGTCAAAGGAATCAACAACCTTCATTCCAAAATCTTGAAGCCCAACTAGCTCGTTGGCACAAGCTCTATCGTCAAGACCACAAGGAACTGTACCGGGCAATACCGAACCTAATCCTAAGGAGGGATGTCATGTGGTAACTCTAAGGAGTGCCTAACCCTTGAAGGAGGTTCCTATCTCAACAACAAGGATACGGTAAGAAAAGTTCAACGTGAAGTTGTTCAAGAATAAGAGTTTGTTTGGGAAGAAGTGCACCCCACTATCAAAATCAAGATTGAAGATGAGGATAGGTCTAAGAAGATTCATGCACCTGACCCAACACCAAAAGCTCCTTATCCTAGACGGTTATTCGAAAGAGATCTATATCATGAATGTGCTCCATGGAAGGATACCTTGAAGCAATTGAAGGTAACAATCCCTTTCTTAGACATGGTTATGAAGATTCCAAAATATACTAAGTTCTTGAAAGAAATAGTGTCGGGAAGGAGGAAGGTGGAAGAAGTTGCTACGATATTTGTTAGTGAAGTTGCTTTGGCATCCATCGGATGTGAAGGCTTCCCTCCAAAATTAAGAGATCTGGGAATCTTGACTATTCCATGCACCTTCCGAGTCAACGCTTTTTGGAATCCGCTAGCAGATTTGGGATCTAGTATCAATATTATGCCTACAAGAATATATAATGAGTTAGACCTTGGACCACTCATACCTAATAAAATGCGGATTGATTTGGCTAATAGGCCTTTTTTTAGCCAAGAGGAATCATAGAAAATGTCTTGGTGAAATGTGCTCATTTTGTCTATCTTGTGGACTTCGTTGTACTTGACACTGAAGGGTATGATGCATCAATAGTCCTAGGCCGACCATCATTAGCTACGGTAAGGACCATTATCGATGTAAGTGGGAGCAAGATCACCTTATGATTTGGATAGGAGGAGATAAGCTACAAGATGACTCCAATCCCCAATTTTCACAAGTATTACAAATGGGATGACGTCAAGATCGATTTTGAGCCGGTAACACCTCCTACCACACCACCTTCAAGCCTTGAGATAGAATAATTCAATATGGTTTTCCATGTTGACCCTCATGATTGAAGAGTTGAAGGTGTGAGTGATTCTTGCGAGATTAAGAAGAGACCGGGTAAAGAAAAATTTCCTTACTAAAAGGCCACTCAAGAGTTGTTCAAAGTTTCTCATCAAGCCAATGACCATAGAAGTAAACTTAAAAGATTCATCTTTGAATAAAGATACCCCAGGAAAGCGTTCAAAATGTTAAGAGCAAACTAGCTCCTATATTTGAAGATGAAGAAGCCGGGGAATGCTATAGGCTATTAACGGATGAGGACATTTATACAAGGGAGTTTAGTTCTTTCAATCATGAGCACCAATCTCTGGATATGTCTTTTGAATCTCAATCACCGGATGAGGCATCCGAGAGACTCCATGGTCTTCACTTGGGAATCCACCACAAGTATGATTTCTATGAAGAATCATCGGTGGAGAATGAAGCTCTTTCCTCTTGATCTCAAGGAGTCAATTCCAGTAAAAAGACTTTAAAATACGCGCTAGTTGGGAGGCAACCCAACAACTCGGTTTGTGTATCTTTTCCTTTTTCCTTTTGAATAATTTCTTAAGTAGAGGAGTTTTGTAGATGAAGATTAATAGGACCTTACCCTTGCCTCGCCTCGCCTTTGGATGTTTGATTGATTTAGATGAATGATTAATCTTTAGAAGTGGATGAAAACTTGATATTTGTGTTCAGGGAAGAGATCGTGGTTGTCACCCGAGAGATCGTGGTCAGGATCT